CGTACTGAATTCCTTTCAAAGCGACGACACCTTCGGAGGCATGATGTACTCACATCCGAAGCCGAAGCTGTGATGGACAAGAGACGATTCAGGATGACGCGGCTGTACGCGCTCGAAAAGAACAAATTCCTGCTCATGAAAGTGGCGTTCACTCTGCTGCGTGATCTGGTAAGACTTCAGTCAACTTCGTCGACCGATTCCGACGAAGTCCGTGGGGAACCATTCCCACCCACGCGTTTGCGACCTTATCAGAATCGACACCGACTCTGAAGTCCGCTCCGGTTTTCTATTTCAGATAGTCACGACCTTCCCAATTTATCACTTTGTTTGGACGAACACGCGACATCTCGTGGAAGCCAGCGGTGAGCAATCAAAGATGGACATCTGGCGGTGGGGTCTAATGAGTAGGGATGTAAATTTTTCGCGGAAAATTTCCGCCGAATTCGCGGAAATTCGCGGCCTCCATTGAAACTCTATGGGGAGAAGCCGGAAATCTCCGCGAATCCCGCGATCGCCGCGAATAATTTACAGCCCTACTAATGAGCAACAGCGAGGAACAGTACCCTCTGCTCCGAACAGCAACTCATATGTGCATACCTTGTGACCGTGGATGAATGTTCGATCCTTCACCAAAGCCATCATTCCAGAACTTGACGATCGTTTCAACTTCGTTCATAACTGCGTGTTCGGCTCGGCAATCGCTCTCGGCAACTCTTTGTTCCATTTCCCGTTGGAAATATATTCGACTCTCTACATCGAGACCAAATACGGGTTCAATCAGGAGGTGCGGAATATTAGAGGGTGCTAGGGCCGGGAATAGACCTTCGGGAATCGGAAATCATTCAAATTCTCAGGGGATCGATATCTTCCGAGACTAGACTCCTGAATCTTGACTCCACCTTGTAGACGCCAGATGAATTTCTGAAGCACCAGTTGACGACTCTGATCCGCAGTCAGCTGCTGATCTGCGCCGCTGTGACAGGTGAACACCATTCCCCGTAATATTATTATCCGAGTTTTCGAATATGTTTTTGAAACGACTCGGGTTCCAAGCGCTTCTTCTTCCCCTTAGGTTTCAGTCTAGTTAGCGGTATCCTGGGAAACAATGCCTTCCTGTTCATCTGGATCTTCATTTCGGTATCCTCGGTGCTTTTCATATTGTTATACCCGAACTGTATAGCACCCATGTTCGATGACTTCACGAGCCTCCCCGAGGGCTCATTGAGGTGAGCTTCCCGGAGTTTCCGGACACAAAAACGGAGATGAACGCTTCCAGGATTTCTTCATGCTCCTCATCACTACTACGGAGTCGACCTTCCAGGGAGAAAATCGAGTGTCTCGCGCGGAAGCTCCGGTTCCCGCTGAGCGGCGTTCTGATCGCTGAGGGTACGAAGCGCATGACGCACGGGGACGTGTATCTATTAGGACTCTCCGTGAATAAATCCGTCGTTCTAGACAAGGATTTTATGTACGCCGTCAAGGTCAGCTCAAGATATTG